GCTTTTATCCCAAAGATATTTTTGTCCATTTGGCAGAGCTTGTCTGTGCCTGGGGTGGTGGGGAGGATTGTTGATAGAGCTGAATGCCGGGATGGTGCACGGGATACCGGGGAGCTGGGCGCAAATAAAGGAGCCTCTGGAGAAGTGGCTGTTTGCGTGCAGGGAAACCTGGACCTCCCCCGAGGAGAGATGCTGGAACTGAGGTCTGGAAAAACTGAGCCTGGAGGTGTGGGGGGGAATTTCCAGCTCATTCCCTGTGGTGTAGACAGTTGTTGCCAGACAATGCAAGAATCGCTCCGCAGCAGCTGCTGTCCCTGATGGTGGGGCAGGACCTGCTCAGGGAGGGAGCTGGCTCAGGCTCTGACCCTGTGACTTGAAGGACCAGTTTTGCAATTTCTAATTTTGCTACCAGAACTGGGCAGATGATAACCTGCAGAGCTCCATTCCCCACCGCCGGCCTTCCCTTGCCCTCCCTGGGCAGAGGGCGCAAGGGAGGTGGTCGTGGGTGGGTTTTTTTCCCCTGGTGTACAGGACCAACTCTCCCGGTACCCGTGAGAGAGTGGATGGTGTGCAGGATTTGCACTAATGCCTTTTTTTTTTTTTTTTTAATTCCCCCCCCCCAAGTTTGGTCTGTGAAGAACTCGTGATTCTTGTCTAGTCCGTGCAGTTGGGCAGCAGGCTGAGCCCAAACTTGAGTCCTGTGCACAGTCCCCTGCCTGTTCTGTCCCGATTTTGTTAAAGACCGAGTTCAACCTGGCCGGTCACCCTTCGACAGCAGGCAGAGTCCTGCAGTATGTGAGAGATGTGTTTCCTGGAAGGATTTTAAAGCTGTGAACAGGTAAACGCTGACTTCTTTTGGCTGGGAAGGGTCTCCAGAGATGGTTTTGTGGCTGGGGGGCTCCAACCCGCCGGGTGGGGGCGGAAATGGAGCAAAGGCTGCTGGCAGCAGCTTGCTGGTCAGCCTCCGGCACCCTGTGCTGCGATGTGGCTGTGTCGCTTGTCTCTGCTGTCCCTGCCTGCTCCTAAGCTGCCCTGCTAGTTCCTCCTGCAAGCCTGGGCCACGTTTCTGTGCCCTCTGCCTACCCTTCCTCGCTATGTTTCTTGTCCTGGAAGAGGTTGGTCTTCCCGCAGCGCTCATTCAAGCAGCTGGAGTGACCGAGTTGCTGTAACACGCAGAATCGCTTCTTGCTTCTCTTGGGCATGTTGAATCTCTGGGGAAAAGACTGTTCCTGGTCTGATCTCTGCTTCCCAACTAGCTGGCTGCTTCAAAACTGCTGCTGCAAGATCACTGCCATTTCTGGAAAGATTTGAAAACTTTGCATTTAAAATTATGATGCCGTAGTTGATCTGTCTCTGCTGTCAGTCCTGTGTTCAGCATCTCAGCTTTTGCCGCATGGATCATGGGTTTCCTTGCTCACAGCTGCATGTGGAATGAATCCACAGGTGTATGGGTGGTTGGTTTTGGGTTTTTTGTCCACTGAAGGTCGTGTTTGCTGTTGATGAAGCTGTCTTGGCTGCTGCTGCAGTGGTTTTTTGCTCTGAGCTTTAGCACTGAGTGTTCTGATGAGTGATCTGGCAGAAAAACTTGGTTGCCCAAGTGGAGAGGTTACAAACACAAGAGTCCTTTACCTGGCCATGTGCATGTAAACATGCTCTTTTCACGCAGGTGCTTCCTTTTGGGAGCCTGACTCAGCACTTTTCCTGAAGACATTGTTTGATTTTTTTTTTTTTTTATTAGGCTTGGGTTTTGCCAGGAGACTCCTGAGAGCCTCACGCTGTGCGTGGCTCCTCACCGCGCTGCAGAAGTGCTGCTCTTTAGTACAGTGACGTTGGTAGGATCCGCTGTACGGCGCAGCCCATGCCACCCCGCTGCCGGTGGTTCCTTGGGAAGCTCAGTGACTCTGCTGGGAACGGATGCGTGAGGCTTTGAGTGTTAAAAGAAATTCATCTTTCCCATCCGCACCCTGAACTACTGACTGATTTATATTTCAGCGTGGCTTAGAAGTTAGAAAGCGGATGGATTAACCTTAATTCTTTGACAGCCTGGTCCTTAGCAGTAACAGAGGAGCTGTGGCTTCTCCTCAAAGCATGCAGTAATGTTAAATACATAGCGCCTCAGTTTCCCTCTTTGGGGTTTTGCCGTTTCGTTGCTCTTTCCAAAGCAGCCCGGGCCGTTTCCCAAACGGTCTGAGCTGCACTATTCATTAATAAAAGCTAAGCCAAGAGCTGCTGTTAGAGGAAAAAAAGATGGGGAAACTTTTCCCATATGGAAAGCCCTCTGCGGAGCCTGTATATCCTCAAGGTTTTGCTTTTAAAAGCTGTGAGAAGGGGCCCAGCAGCGAGGGAGCTGCAGCCAGGCGGGTGGAGGAGCTCTGGGCTGTGCTGGCGGCCGTGGCTCCGGCGGGTGGCAGCACCG